GAAACCGACTGTCTTCAGAAAATTGGATGTCATTTTCATTTAATCTTGCATGTAATGTCTGATAAAGCAGTGTTTTTTGAGGGAGCGCTGCTTTGTGTACAGCCTTACCGGGGAAACCTCGAGCTCTACCACTCCAACAGCGCCTCCTGCTGGCAGAAAATGAGTTTGCATATATGTTGTTGACATCCTATCTAAAACGTGATTTAGCCAAAAAAAAAAAAAACAATAACGTTACCACTCTAATATGTCTTGCAATATACGTGCGCTCAAAGGTTCTGTGCGATCCTCTTGTTCAATATTCTGGGAGTCTGAATTCGGCTCAAATTGATATGGCAATATTGACGCCATCCTTAAAGTATTTAAATCATTTTTTACCTCTAATACACCACTATGTCCAACTGTCTTTGGGCACGCGCACGGCATCCGGTGCGTGAGGTGTGTACGCGCTCTGGCGTAGTTTACGCAAGCGCCGGAAGTGATCTCTTGTGCGCATACTTCACTCATTGTTTACACAGTGCACAGTCATTGTAGGTATGACGGCTAATCAAAATGGTACTTACTTGTGCTTATCCGGATTGTTCAAACCGACTTAAAACTAAAAGATTACGTTCTCTCGCGCGAACTCATTCGGGAGTGGTGACTTTCCACGTATTCCCAACTTCTGAGCCTGCTCGCCTGAAGTTATGGTTGATTGCTCTTCGGCTGGATATCAACACACCCATTAACGTAAACTACGCCAGAGTGCGTACACGCCTCATGCACCGGATGCCGTGCGCACACCCAAAGACAGTTGGACATAGTGGTGTATTAGAGGTAAAAAATGATATAAATACTGTTTGGTTTCTGGCACAAACCGATCGTTTCGTGTCTTAGGACATCAATGTGTCGTCACGAGCCACAGGGTTTAATTTGGATTTGTCTGTGCATGTTTTTTTTACTCTCATAGATTTTGTTACCATTGCCATGCATTATACAACTGATAGACTGCAACGGTTGGAGTTAAAAATCATCATATGTGTTCTACTGAAGAAACAAAGTCACCTACATCTTGGATGCCCTGGGGGTAAGCAGATAAACATCAAATTTTAATTTTTGGGTGAACTATCCCTTTAACTAAACCGGAGCAGATGAAACTTGCTGCTTTGGTAAGGGGCGGGGCAGTACTGAAATGCCGCCTAAGCTGTTCGCCAATCACAACGCACTGGGACAGCTAACCAATCACATCAAATTTCGTTTTTCGGAATGCGGGCCTTCATCAAACTAATCGAGCCGTTTGTGCCAGGATGGGGAGAAAGGTAAAAAATAATGCGTTTTTCGAACCACCAAGCATGAGAGCATGTTCTAGTACACCCCCAAAACAAATTCAAGACATTGTAAAAGAGCATAGTAGGACCCCTTTAAAAAAAACTTCATTAATAATCCATTAAGAATCTTTAATCCAATAGCAGATTCAATGATACTTGTTACTACGTAGCAGTGAAGAATGATACCTCGCTTGACCAGGTAGACTTGCAATTGGTTCCACTGCATCAGGACTGTCACTGTTAAAATTATTCAGAGAGAGACATAATAACTATTTCTATTCATTCAAACAAATTAACAGATAGAAACTTTCAACAATAACATAACTCCTGAGCCTATATACCATAATCAAATAAATATATAGAGAGAAGACATTACGTAATGAAGATAGGATATATGAGGTTATCTGGTCTGAGGTCTGAAGCACAGGTCTGCCAGTATCGGAGAGTGGGGTGAAAGTAACCGCTGTGTAGAATAGAGTCTGCCGGCTGTGTCATCGTCCTACAGATTCAAACGAAAGACAAACACTTACTGACACAATCTACATAACTGCAGAATTATGAATCATAGTTACATATGCTAGATTAATAAATATTGTTAATCAGGTGCTTTGTCTCGTTTCCCAGAAAAAAAAAGATAAAAAATAAATAAATAATAAATCCACCTGAAAACAAAAACTGCAATAGAAAGCATGGTAAGGCTGGTTTTCAGGTCACATATGTGAAACTGAGTAGATTTTTCTCTTGTTTAAACAATAACCCTCACTACATTTAATATTTTATTTTATATTTTCTAGAAGTAAAACTAATAATTTTAATACATTTAGACATCTTAAAATAAGTATTAAAATTATTAAAAGCCTAACATTATTAAATCATTAATTGACTTACACATTATTAAAACAAAATACTGATAATGACAATAAACTATTGATTTGGGGAAAAATTAAATAACTTTACTGTAAAGAAAATTACTAATTAAGACACATTCAAAGTGGTTGGGAGCAATTCAATTATTCTGTCCACTGAATTTATGAAAATAAATCTTCTGAATGAATGAGCAAAGAGTGACTCTGACACATTCTAGCCATACAACAGACGCAAGCATGCAGAAATTCTCACTTTGCAGACAATAAACATTCATTCACCTGCTTAAGAAACCATATTTAAATCAAAGAAAATCTCCTTTTGCACATAAAAAAAATATGTATGATCAATCAAAATTACCTATTCAAACTTTGATGTGTTTTGGAGTTTTGATGTAACCCACATAACACCAACCTGACTTTTTTTTGGTACACTAATAATGAATTTATATAAATTAAACATTTTTAATTAATGGTTAAGCAGGAGACCTTAATCATGCAAGCATGCATATTGCATTAGGTCAACTCATTAATTATTTTTCATAGCTAAATGTTGAAATGTCAGTAATCATGAAACAGTTAAACAATCGTTTCAAAAACTTACGTAAGCAGTACTTACTTTACACTCTTGGTCTAATATCGCTAACAAGTTTCTCTTTGCTAATAGTGCTCGTAAACTGTTACAGATGCATAAAGCTTGTAAAATGCATACATGCAAAATGTAATTCAAGCATTCCATAAATGACTTAAATTATACAACTGAGATGAACTTACTTTGTGCTTAGTCACTGCTAATGGGAACCCGTAAATGACCGAGATCTTGCTAACTAAAGTATTGCTCCTCGAACGCATGTGCATTTCATTCTGAGAGAAGAATGTTGCTAGCTGTCAACTGTTTCCTGTTCGACGAAACTTGTATTCCTCCAGCCAGGTGGCGCTTGATGGCTCAGAAAGGCAAATTCTTCATTTAGCTACAATCAACTTTCAATACGTTTTTGTACTATAAATATTTATATATCTTGTAAATATTTAAATATGATGCTCTTGAATCTGAGATATAAATAAAATATCCTCCTGCAAGCTTTATATAATGTTTAATTTTTATCATTAAATCACACGCCTATAATTGAGACCTACATAGCGCGGAGAAATATACCAGGTACCACGTGATAGCGCTGTCTACGTTTTATTTCAGCGATGAACTTGAATGCTGCATCATAGAAAAGAAAATACAAAGTTAAAATAGCAAATTATATGTTTATAGTGAGTGTCTATAGTGAGCTAGTAGTCATTCTGGACTGGCGCTTATCCCTTTTCTGTCATTACTCTTTCTGTCTTCTTCTTCTTCTTCTTCTTCTTTTGGTTTTATGGCGTTAATCCAATATGCCATGGCTAGTTTTTCTCTTCTTAAATGTAGAGGCATTTCTGAGGACTCCACCTGTATTGCTGCAATTGGTGTCGTCTTAACTGCTCCTAGAACCAATCTTAGTGCTTTAGCTTGCATAATATCTAGTTTCTTTAATAACGTTGCAGATGCAGATTCATACACAATACATCCATAATCAAGAACTGATCTCATGAGTCCAATATATATATACACTTTAATGATTGCTTATCTGCACCCCAATCTTGTCCTGCAACCCCTCTCATTAAATTTAATACTTTACTACATTTCTTTATAATATAATCAATGTGGACTTTCCAAGTTAATTTATCATCAAACCACATTCCCAAATATTTAAAATTAGATACTTTTTCTAATGCAGACCCATAAAGTTTAAGCTGCTTATTTCCTTTAATTTTCCTCCTGGTACTCTTTCTGTCTTCTCGGCCTCCGTAGAAAATACTCTGTTTTACGGATCTCGCGATATTTCTCACGACTCACATTTGAGATCTCGCGATGGCGCTTGGAGGTTGAAAAGTAGGCGAAGGTGAGAGGCGGGCGGCAACACTGGACTGTGACTGGAGCACTGATGGCAGGAAATGACGGTAGCTCTGGTAGTGATCCGGAAATGGAAGACGAATCGTGTAGCGGGAGTGCAGCAGGGAGTGAATGGTGGAAAGTAGTCAATCGGAAAAGAAAGAAAAACAATAGTCAAGGATCATTTACGGATAGTGGAAAGGAGGATCATGTGAGTAGGAAAAATATAGAGGAATACAAAGTAATGATGAAATTTGCAGAACCTGGTATGACGATAAACCCGATTAAACTGACCAAATCTCTGAACAAAGCGTTAGGAGAAATAAATAGTGCAAAGACTCTGAGAGATGGAAACTTGATTATCATGTGTAAGGACGAAAAACAACAAAATAAGGCACTAAGTATAAATTCGATGCTTGGATACCCGGTATCATGCACATTGATGAAGACGAAGCCTTGGGTTAGAGGCGTAATAACTGGAATTCCTACTGATGTACATGCTGATAAAATGAAAAGTTGCGTTGAAGGGGGGAAGGTAATTGGAGCAAAACGGCTTCAATATGTGAGAAATAAAGAAAGGATGGACAGTCTATCGGTTATGCTTCAGTTTGATGAAGAAAGAATGCCAGAGAGGGTAAAAATAGGCTATGTAAGTTACCCAGTAAGACCATACGTACCTCCTCCACTTAGATGCTTCAAGTGCCAGAAGTATGGACATGTTAGTGCAGTTTGTAGAGGAAGACAACGTTGTGCGAGATGTGGGGGGTGATCATGTATATGGTAAATGTGGCGAAGGAGCGAAGGCAAAATGCTGCAACTGTGGGGGTGAGCATAGTGCCGGATTTGGGGGATGCATTGCTCACAAGCATGCTGTGAAAATTCAAAATGTGAGAATAACTGAGGGGTTGACCATGGGTGTTGAATCATTTCATTTGTCAAACCTCTTGAAAGAGCATGCAGAACAAGGTAAAATATATGGTGCTATTGTTAAATACATTAAAGGAATAGGATTAATCAGGATAATTTAGGAATGTGTGTGTTTTGGTTTTAAAAAATTTATTTATTTTTTTTTATATAAAATATAGATAAATATAAATATGTATTTATTAGTGCTCCACACTCCAGTCCAGTTGGTGGCGGTAAATGCACCAGAAGTTGGTTTGCCATCCGCCATAAAACGTTATTAGAAGAAGAAGAGATCTCGCGATATTTCCCCGGACTCCTATTGGAAGGTAAATAGCTCATCTCAGCTAGCTTGTGTTCTTTACAGCTGCTTATCCACCGCTGTCAATCCACCCGTTCATTACCGAGCCTTTGAAAATGTAGCTTGCGGTTATATATTTGTCTTTAACCATCACTGTGAACAATATCTGTGAGGTAAAAGTTTTTTTCAGTATATTATTAGCACATTTAATACTCGTCATCATATGCTAACTGACAGCTCGCTTGTTTATACTTACACATTCAATTCCGCCAAATGCCATCATATTAGCCGTTAATTGTCTAATAACATGTTTATCTGCATAGTGTTAACCTGGATTATGATGTATATTAAAGATACAATAGCTATGATGTTGAGGATAGTGAAATAAGCCATACTGGCGTCTGTATTGATTTAAATGTTAATCATATAGTCACAGAATACAGTCAACCATGTTTTTTGGACATGTACAATGTGACTTCATCAGTGTAGAATCTTACCAAGTGTTTTACATACAATAATTTACAAATTTGAATTGTAGTTGCATTGTTTTAGGTCTTGATAATTGAGTCTTTTTCTTCCTTTTTTCAGGTTTTGACAGGGTCAAATCTGTCAGAAGTCATAAGGTGGACCTGGTCCATCTCCAAAACAGCATGATGCTGCCAAAATAGTGAAATCATCATCATCAGTGGAGGATTTTTCATAGACTTGAATGCCCATTAAATGCTTATCTTCACTCCCAGTTTCTTAGGCTAGTGTTTTGACCTTAGTCTCCTAATAAACAACACTCAGTGGTGTCCCATTAATAATGCTGTTCTCTCTGCGAGAGGTAGTGCAATGGCTGGGCTTTGCCACATTTGAGCTGTTCCTCCACTTGGGCACGCTGCTGGTGTTCAGCGTGCTGGTGGCCCTACACATGGACGTGGACAAGCAGACTCTTGAGATGAGCTGGTGGATTGTCTTCTCTCCCTTGTTTGCTGCTGATGGCCTCAGCACTTACTTCACAGCCATTGTATCCATCCGCCTCTATCAAGAAGGAGAGAAGCGGCTGGCGGTGCTGCGCTTGCTGTGGGTGCTGACCGTGCTCAGCCTCAAGCTGGTGTGTGAGGTGCTGCTATGCCAGAAATTGGCAGAACAGAACCAGGCACAAAGTGATTTGTGGTTCGGGCTTATCGTTTCCCCACTTTTCATCCTTCTGCAGCTGCTAATGATTCGTGCTTGTCGTGTCAATTAAAGGACAAACCGTCTGCACACATGCCAGGAGTGAATCGTTGTGAACTGCAAAATCATTGTGAACTTTTTTTTTTGTATTCAAATGGTTCAAGCATGTGAACATGGCATCATAAACAATGCTTAAAATAATGTGCAATTTTGATTATTATTATTGTCCATAAGTGCTATGAGAGATTTGGTCTGGATTTTTTTCTGAATACTGTCAATGTTGCTTTATCTGTGTTAATACATACATTTATTGTTGTTTGTACAGTTGTAAATAAACCAGCAATATTCAACACTCTTGAGTTTCCTTGGTTTGTTATGACCATGCCTTGAAGTAACCTAAATTTATTTGTTTATTTAGAAAAGTTAGTTGGATGTTTGATGTTTTTGAGAGGAAAATTCAAAATAAGCCGTGTGTAAAAAAAAAATGTACGTCCTATAATAATCACTAGATGGCACTATAGATTTAATTAATCCTGCAATTTCTAATTTGTCTCATTATAGGAGCTCCTCTCAGGACAAACCATGCAATTTCATTAAGTATACATTTACAAAATGGTTTTATGATGTTTGAAGTACAGTTATATCATTAAAGAGCAGCTAGTTTCAAATTCATCACATACATATCCTTACGGATGTAGTGAAACGTTTTCTAAAATATATAACTTCTAAAGAGAAATAGAAAAATGAGCTCTTATTAAAATGAAAGCAATATTTTATTGGAAACTAAATGGATTAAATGATATCTAATGCAAACAACACTCCTGTTGCAGTATATGAATATTAAACCAAAAGGACAAAGGACATCTAATAAACAGCCTTCCTGTTACTTTATATAAGATACTAGATACACAGAAAGCATTTATATTTATTACCTGTTAGCAAGGCTGTGTTACTGTAAATAATAAACCATGTTATTTTTTGAACTTTGCACTCGGTTTGTGATAGCATAAAATAATTTAATTGAACATATGTGATCCTGGACCACAAAACCAGTCTTAAGTCGCTTGGGTTTATTTTTAGCAATAGCCAAAAAAACATTGTATGGGTCAAAATTATCGATTTTTCTTTTATGCCAAAAATCATTAGGATTTTAATAAAAGATCATTTCCCATGAAGATATTTTGTAAATGTCCTACCTTAAACATATAAAAACTTAATTTTTGATTAGTAGATATGCATTGCTAAGTAAGAACTTAATTTGGACAACTTTAAAGGCGATTTTATCAGTATTTAGATTTTTTTGCACCCTCATATTCCAGATTTTCAAATAGTTGTACCTCGACCAAATATGGTCCTATCCTAACAAACCATACATCAATGGAAATCGTATTTATTCGGCTTTCATATGATGTATAACTCTCAATTTAAAAAAATCGACCCTTATGACTGGTTTTGTGGTCCATGGTCACATATGTTAAGCCCTTACCTACTGCAACCCATTGTGGCTGTAAATGCCAACAGCTGTACTAAAGGTCGTACACCCTAATCTTAAATGAACAATTTTTCCTGCCGCCCCTTCCTGATTATGAAGTTATCTAAATTTACAGAATGCTCAGGTGCATAATAGGCTACAGCCTATAAATAACTCGACGCGCTGTACTTATGAGGCCTTGCTATAATCTTTATTTCTGTGCCTTTTAATTAATCTGATTAAAACCGAGTTATGAGAGTGACGAGGTCATTAGTCGTACCACGTCATTATATGGCATATTCTACTTTTTATCAGATTTCTTTGATCAAACAATCCGTTTTGATCCTGTCAGTCGCCTTCGTATTTGTTGCATTAGAAAAACAGTAGGTCTACTGTAATAATGTATTTACACATATATTTATTTATTTTGTTATATTTATTTTCATTTTCATTTCATTTCATTTTTTTGGGATTAAAACTAGATTATGACAGGACAAATAGTTGCACCACGCCATGGTCAAGGGAACATTACAACTCTCAGTAACCTTCGTATTTGAAATGTAGAAATTTAGAAGGAAAAAAAATGTAATTGTTTAAAATTTCTTACCTTTTGTTGCTTTGTTTCTTATGAAAATCCTTATGTATAATTTATTGCAATTTATATTATTTATATTATTTTTACATGACATTTAGAACAGATAATTTATTAAATTCAGAATGCGTTTTATTCACCAAGTGTGCACACACACACAGGAAATAATTTTTTTATTTTCCACTTAATGTTATCTTGCGTATTGTATATTGCTCCAAACAGCTTGCAGTTTTGCCCATTCATAATATAAACCGTTCCTAAATAATGAAAGGGTTAAATATATGAAATGGGCGGGTCTCGCGGTGCTTGACTGACAGGGCTCGCTTTAATCTTCACAATAGTAGAAAGTAGGGGGCGGGGCATATGTTAAAACAAAAGGTGTGCCTCAAGTCAAAATTACCAAATGAGGTGTCCACCCTGAGACGAAAAGCTGACGTCACACTCCGAGGGCGGGGTCGTGTCAGTAGACTGGCACATCATCATCATGCAGGATATATTGTTGCGGCTGCAATGATGTGCGAGTACGAATAAGAAAAGGCGCTGCAGGTACGGCGAGAGATTATTTGGATTCACACGTACCCCTATAAAACCCGTTTCTCCCATAATGTCGTGCGGGGATCTTCGCGTTCTTCGCCAAGAGCCAGGGCAGGAGAGCCCGAGGATGCCGGCCTGGAAACGCGAGATCCTTGAGCGGAGAAAGGCGAAAGGCGGTGGGTCCGGAGCAGGTGCCGAGTCCGTCGCATCTCGACTTAACGGCGAGGTAACGGCCAGCAAAAGCAAGGATGATATTAGTAGCGCACATTCTAGCAGGAACTGTACCATTACCGCTGCCAACCGCGCGACCAAAAGCCCGGATCTGTCACCGGTGAAAACAAAAGAGCACTGGACATCCGCGGACCCGAGCCGCACGGAGGAGAGAACGGCGAGAGACAACGGAGCGCATGAGAGCCTGGTATTGCAAGAGAGCTTGGGTCCGCTGCAGGAAAACCCATTCATTAATTCAGCACATCCTCGAGTTATACGGCGGCGTTCCCGGGATACGGACTATACGCGCTGAGAATATCATCATTATTGAATCCGACCCGGAGTACTTCTCGGAAGGATGTGGTTTGAAGCATGCATCGAAACTGCAGCAGAACGGCACGGTGAGCGGATACAGCTCTCTCAATGACCTGTTAGACCGGAGAGGTAGTCCGGTTACGGAGATACGCGCGAAGGAAGTGGTCATTTACGATACTGCGCTTAGTAAAAGCGAGGAGAACCTCAGCACGCTGGGACGACCCGCGTCTGCCCCGCTGGAGGGGCAAGGAAGGGTGAGTCGCATGTTACAGAAATTTGACAGGAATTATGGCAAGTTGCAGGCCAAGTCACGCAGCACGGAAAACCTCCTGGACTTGGACTGTAGTCCTGTCAGGCCAAGCTCCAGACCCAAGCCAGATGTGGTGCCAAAATGCCCAGTGTCGCCGCAAGCTGGCTCTCCACACAGCAAGGTCTTCCAAAATGTCCAGTCTTCCATGAGCAACCATCACGCCTCTCCTAGTGACTCAGGGAGTAGTACACCCGTTTCTGGATCCCCTCAGTTAGTGTCTTCCACACGTAGACGTTTCGAGGGCAGCGAGGGACGAAGTGTCACTGTGTATCCCAAGGAGGACACTGAGAGGTCTCCGTCCAAGCCTGTTAGAGAACGGGACTGGGACAGCACAGATGGGGCCTCTAAAGCCAAGGTGCCATGCTCTCCGGAGAGCCACCGTGCCCGTGCCGACTGTACTCCTAGCCCCACATCACCCCCTTTATCACCCAGCTTTGAGATCCGCCCGTCCCCTCGCCCGGATCTTTCTCTCCTTCCGCCTGGGGATCTACAGGCCCGTGCACTCGCCAACTTGCGACTCCAGTCTCGCAATTCCTTCACTGTCATTCCCAAGAGTCGTGCGGCCATTTCGTCACCTGGCAGCACCGCCCCATCCAGCCCTGTCCTTTCCCCCCCATCCCCACAACCCCTGGTGGGTGTGGCAGCTTCAGAGCCCACAGTGCCAACCCCCTCACCCGCTTCCTTCATACATTCCACACCAAAGCTTACAGAAAAGGTGACCATAGAAGCCAAAACAGGGTCTCCGCAACATACCCCACCTGCCACACCCACCTCTCCAGCCCCAGCTTCTCCGCCCTCAATTGGCTCACCTGTCAAATCAGTCTCATCTCCAAAGGAACCTCCGCTTGATAAGCTGCCTATCACAAACATTGATGACCTAGTCGTGGAGCCAACGCCACCCGTCCTGAGCCCTGCGGTGCAGAGGCGCAAAGGAAATACGTTTACAGTTGTTCCGAAACGGAGGCCTGAGGCCCAGTCTGGCCCTGCTGAGACCCCAGAAGTCGTCAGTGAATCTCAGAGCACACCACAGGCCCCTTATACCCATCTGGGAACCCTGATTAAAAAGCGTTACCCTGCTGCAGAGGAGATAAAGGTCATTGGGGGCTACCTCTCCCTTGGGCGATCCTGTCTCTCGAAGACTGGCTCAACAGGAAAAAAGGTAAATATAGTATCATATTTAGCGTAATATCTACATTGGTCATTTATTTACTATACATGTATTAAAGAAATAGGATGTCTTTATGAAGTGGCTTAGTAGGTATAGTTTACCCCAAAACAAACATTCTGTCATCATTTACTCATCCTGATGTCATTCAAAACCTGTATCACTGTTTTTCTTTTGTGGAGCACAAAAGGCAACATTAGGCACTCCCAGTCACCTTTCATTTTCATTCTGCCTAATATCTCATTTTGTGTTCCACTAAAGAAACAAAGTCATATGAGTTGTGGCACCACATAAGGGTAAGTAAATAATAGCAGAACTTTGGGTTAACTATACTTTTAAGAAGAATGCACTTTTGTGTCCTGGCAAGTGTCTTGATTAAATACATTTTTATGTTCCGGTTCAATTCTTGCCATTAACAAACCATTAACTACGACTTTTACCTCAATAACTTCTAATTTGCTCCTTATTAATAGCAAGGTAGTTGTTAAGTTTAGGTATTGGGTAGGATTAGGGATGTAGAATATGGTCATGCAGAATGTGCTTTATAAGTACTAATATGTTAGCCAATATGTTAAAAATAGGCATTCTGCGCAGCTGCGCTCACAGCGACCCGAGTTCGATTCCCATCTCAAGGTCCTTTGCCGATCCCGCTCCACTCTCTCCCAGTGCTTTCCTGTCGTCTATCTAAT